TTATATATATGAATATATGAAAAATATATCAAAATGCATGTGGGTACTCAAATGAAAGCTCTTGATGAGTGTAACATCCGGATGAGGTTATATCTTTAAAAGTGTCAATAGTTCACAAGATACAAGGTCATTTCTTAATTATTGACATTATTCACGATATAAGCTCATCTCGTTATTACACTCATCAAGAGCTTTCATTTGAGTACCCACATAGCATTATTTATATATTTTATATAGATATGGTATTTCTGAAATATATAAATATATAAAATGTATGAAAAATTGATGTGGGTACTCAAATGAAAGCTCTTGAGGATTGTATCATCGAGATGAGCTTATATCTTTAAAAATGTCAATAGTTAAGAAAGTACAGTGCAATTTAACAAAAGGCATTATTTAATAAAACGAAATTTTATTTATTTATAGTTCACAAGTCACAGCAGTCACATAGTGACTGCACGGTTGCTAGTTTAATTAATTTTTTTCGATAAAAAATTTTTTTGAAAAAATTGATTTCATTCTCAATTGACTAAAAAAATTTTCTTTTATTTATACATTAACTTAACAATTTTCCAATCGTTAAAATTAGCCAAACTAATCTTAGTAATTTATTTTTAACTGATCAACCATTTCACTCTATAAGAAATAATTTGTTGCAAACTGTAAATCTTATTATCCTTCGTCTACCCTATTAATTAATTAATCAACCAATTTGGCAGAACCTCCGGATTTCCCTCGGAATATCCACGTCCTAGAAAAGGGAAGTCGCCATATTAAATTAGGGTGGACTAGCAGTCAGGATGGGAATAGTCCAATTACTCAGTACATTATTGAATATAAAACAGATTCAGGTAAAGAATTTATGCATATATATAAACAGAGTGATAAATAAAATTATACACTAATTTTTTACTATTATTTTATTTTGTTTATTTTTTTTCACAGAAATTTGGCACGACCACACGTTCCACGCGACAGTTTCTGGAACGCAAACATACGGACATGTGAATGGTTTGCGTCCTGCTACTAGCTATCAGTTTCGGATATTTGCTGAGAACGAATTGGGTCGTAGTCAAGCGAGCGATGTAGGTATATAAACCTAGACCCCATAAATTTGTTTTTAAGCCTCTCTCAAACAACCTATATTCTATATGCCGTATAGCACTACCAACTTTATTAATTCTTATCTATGTGTAATAGTTTCGAACAAATAAAAGCCGTATTACCACTTTACTTTGAAAATAAAAAAGAATATCTTTCATATTAGAGTTTTCTATTTACGGCTTTAATGTCGGTCATTTGTCGCACTTACCTTATCTGTTTCTATTCCCACTAATCATTCTACTCCTCTAAGTCTCAAAGGAAATTTTAACACGAAACTTAAATACATTTGGCTAACCAATTAATTGAACTGTTCTATTCAGATCCTCGAAGTAACAACGGACGGTGAGAAGCCTGGAGGACCTCCTCGGAACCTCAAAGTCGAACCAATTAGTTCGACAGACTTTAAAGTCAGTTGGGATCCGCCCGATCAAGACTTATGGAACGGAGAAATTCTCGGGTACCACGTTGGCTTCAAGGAACACAGGTCTTTATTTTAATAATTGTTGCTTTATTGTATTTACTCCAGGTCATTATAAGACTTCGATTGACTTTGGAGTCCTCAGTTGATAACACAATTTAACTTTATCAATTACATTTGTTTTGCAATATTTTGAGAACGGGTCACTGATATTGTTAAAAGGCTACCTTGTGGATTGTTAAAATTTACGGAATAGTTTTCTTTGAGTTAAATTTATTGAAGTAATTTATTAATATGTAGCAATTGTTAGTTTTTTTTGTATTTTCCTTTGAATGTGTAAAATTCAATTATTTGGAACAAGTTATTTACATAGTAAATAATAATTTATTTACATAATTAATTAAATTTTCATTATTTAATCTAAAAAAAAAAAATTATTTTTTAAATTTGAAAATTTTATTAAAAATTTTCATTAAATTTAGAAAATGTTTAAATATACATTTTGTAATTTTCAATCAAACAATAATGATTTTAAAAATTTTTTTTAATAAAAAATTAACTCCGCGAGTTTTTTTTTATTAATTATATAATTAAAATTCTTTTTTTCTTTTAAATATGAAGAAATTAAATCATTTAAAAATTCTTCCCTCCGTAAATGTTTTACAGAGTAAATTCTTGTTCAAAAAAAATTATCTTAATAATAATTTTTTTTCTCAGTGTAAATTAAATTTATAGATATTTATTTATATATTGATAAAAAAATTCTTGAATTAAAAAATTGTTTTGAATCAGATTAATTTTTTTATCGATGCCGTAAAAAAAAAAAAAAAAACAGTATTTTTTAATTTTCATATTGAAGAAAAATTTTTTGTGTTTTAAACACTTGTTATTTTAATGTAGTATAAAAATTTAATTTTTATAATTAAATATGACATTAAAATTAACTGAAATAGAGAAATTATTTTTTATTTTTATAATTAAATTATCATATAAATAATTTAGATAAAGATTCTACAAGTAGAATTAAAAAAAAAATTAAAATTGTAATATTAAAAAAAAAAAATTTTTTTTATTAATTAATTTGTTATGAAAAACTTGTCTGACCTGCAGTTTTCAGTATGACAATGTAAGCACATATTATACGTAGAAACTTAAAAAAAAAAAAAAATTAAAAAATTTTCCAGTAAAAAAAAATGAAATTATATCACACAATATTACCCGGTATAATATCTCTTCATTTAATAGGTGGAAGTAGAAATTACTCAAAAGTTAAATCCCGAGTATCCTCATTCCAACTATTATAAACTGGCACAAACATCCATTAACTCGATAGAACAAAAAGATTTTTAAATTATTAGGTGCTTTAAACTTTACCCAACTCGTAAACTTTAACATTTATATATATTAAACCTTCCATTATAATTATACCTATACCTATCACTAAGGAATAACAATAATAATAATTGTCATTAATTATTTTATTAATTAACAAAAAAAATTTTCTCAAGTAGGCTATCTGCCGAACAGTACACTTACAAAACTGTAGAAGGACGGCCGATATCAGCGAGCGTAACTTTGGGACTAGCTCGAACTGCCATTCCCGGTCGCCAATGTCAATTGACCAATTTACGAAAATTCACGCGCTATAGCGTGATTGTTCAAGCATACAACGCGTTAGGCCCGGGACCAATGACGTCTGAAGTGGTTGCGACAACCCTCGAAGACGGTAATTTATTATTTAAATTGTAAATTTATTTATTTAGGCAAAATATTTCTTCTTTTTGGAAAAATCTTTATCTAAATTTGAATTATCAGTGCCAAGTAGTCCGCCTCAAGATATCCGGTGTACCGCACTATCTGCCCAATCTCTCCAAGTATCTTGGGAAGCACCACCGGATACAAGCTTGAACGGAGTCCTCCGCGGTTTCAAAGTTAACTGGGAGAGCATGGACGCGCTTACTGAGACGACCAAGTACGACACCAAAATAACCTCTGCCTTGACGATTGTGTTGAACAATTTGGAAAAATATACGAACTACTCAATCCAAGTCGCGGCGATGACCCGACCGGGTGACGGAATACCCTCAGCTCCAATTTACTGTAAAACGAAGGAAGACTTGCCGGAAGTACCTGCTGGAATTAAAGTTGTCGCTAATTCGAATGAATCGATAATAGTTTCGTGGTTGCCGCCTCTGAAAGCTAATGGTGTTATCACTACGTACTATGTTTATATTAAGAGTGAAGACACTGATGGAAAGTGGTATAAACACATCTCTAAGGCTCACAAGACTAGTTACAAAGCTGAAAATCTACAGAAGAGGACGCAGTACTCGTTTCATGTTGCTGCTGTTACTTCTGTTGGTGAAGGTCCTAAAACTTCGTCTGTTACTGCATCTCCCTCTAGTCACGGTAATTTTATTATTCACTTTTTTTTAATCACTTGGCAAAACCCAATTTCCTTTCAAACAAACTAGTAAATGTTCGCTTTTAATTATAGAAAAAATTTGATCTTAATGTTTGTTTTTGTTTAAATTTAATTTTTTAATCATTAATTTTTAGTCCGAAATAAATTAAAAAAAAAAAAAAAAATAGAAAAAGCGCTATTCGGCCACAGCCGACATAGACAGGTATAGATTTGTGGGATGAATGTTGAAAAAGAAATCTACTTAAAAAATAGAATGTGTAATATGTGAAAGTTATTTGAACTATATAAAATAAATTCAAAAAATATCAAAAGTCGACGAATAATGTCTTAACTTGAAGATAATTATGTGAACTTTGACAAATTTAAGGTATCTTTCATGGCTTAGAAATTATTTAAAAAAAAATTTTTCAATTTTTTAGCGGGAAGTTAAAAAAAAAGCCGGAAATAGATTTATTAAAAAATTATTTTAAATTTTAAAAATCATCAAAATTAGACAAATAATAGCTTCAATGAGAGGTAATTATTTGAACTTAAACATAAATTTTATCTATTTTTAAATTCTGGAAAATTATTTCCACAAAATTGACGAAATTTGAAATTTTTTAAAAGATCGTCAACAATAGCTAATTTTATAATAAAATCTAATTATTCCAAGAATAAGAGAAAGAAACAATTTTATTAGAGTAAATTGGTCGCGTAAATTGTTAATATAAAGATTAATTAGATTTAAATTATTTATGTCTTTAAAAATTATTTTTTTTCAATTAGAAACTAATATCTAGCAGGTTGTTTATCTAAAAATGAAATTTTAAAGTAAAACATTAAATATCACGTAAATTGTTAATTATTAAAAAAAATAAAATAAAATTTAAAAGTGGACTAAATTTTCAAACTAATGACAAAAAATTTGTCTGCTAGTTAAAACAGATATTTTTAGGGATAGATTTTATGATTATTATTATTAATATAATATTATTAGGTATTTAAATAAATATTTGATGAGTAAAATTATACATGTCCTCTATTTTTTATTCTTTCTGATAATAGATGACTGTAAATATGTTTATTGAAATAACATTCGAAGTACAAAACTATTGATTCAGTCTGGAGTATTTGCAAACTTGAACTGATACTTTAATGTACTTCCAATATTTATTAATAGAGAAGGAAAACATAAAAAGTTAAAAGTTAAATTGAAATTATACAAAAATTTAATTATTTCTTCGTTTCTCATTTAATTCGAAATATTAATTTACAATCACTGTTAATTAAATTGTATAATATTGGTACTGTTTGATATTTTTTAATTTAAATTAGTGTAATTGAAAAATGATTGGTTGAAATATTTAGCGAAATGAATATAACCGGAATGAATTCGTTCATTAATTATAATACAATTTCACAAAGTTTTAAATATTCTGAAGTACTCTCACAACGTGAAATGTAATTAAATAATATTTTATTTGAATAGTACCTGCGGCAATTTATTCATTCGGAATGAGTCCAATTGTTCCATGGAAGCAAGACGTAACTTTGCCTTGCCAGAGTGTGGGAAAACCGTCACTTTTATGGAAGCAATGGGGCCAAGTAGTTAAAGCGTCCGGCAGAATAACTATTCGTACTGATGGCTCGCTACATATTGCTGATCTTCATCGTGAGGACAGTGGTAATTACACTTGTCACGTAGAAAATCAACATGGCTCTGATCAAATTACCCATAAATTAATTGTCCAAGGTAATGTATTTGATATTTTTTATTTTTAGTTGGCTTTTTGTTTTAAAACTTAAAATTTTATTGAATAAATAATAAATAATCAAAACAATGACGGGATTTATAAAGCCGCTTTTTATTTAATATTATTATTTATTTTTATCTTATTGAAATATTAGTCAAGACAGAAATATGAGTTGTAGGATTAGAGACTAAGACTCTTGCGACAAAGCTGATGCTTAGTTGAATACTCGACTCCTTGGATGAAAATTGAAAATAAATTTTTAATAACAGATTACGTCTTAAGTAGATAATTTTCTAAAAAAATACTCTAAATACATATATAAGAAACGCATGTATGAAAATATAAAAAAAATTATTTCAAGCAGCATTCGAAAATGCTCTATCTCTATACATAATTAAAGAATGACCTTGTATTTTGTCAACTATTGACATTTTTAAAGATATAAGCTCACCCCGACATTAAACTCATCGATACCTTTCATTTGAGTACCCACATCAATTTTTCATATATTTATATATATCATATATATGAATATATGAAAAATATATCAAAATGCATGTGGGTAGTCAAATGAAAGGTCTTGATGAGTGTAACATCGAAATGAGCTTATATCTTTAAAAATGGCAATAGTTAAGAAATTACATTGTATCTTGTCAACTATTGACATTTTTAAAGATATAAGCTCACCCCGACATTACACTCATCGATACCTTTCATTTGAGTACC